AACCCCTTTTCATCCCACCGTGTGGTTTTTTATCTTCTTTACCGTTCTCTTCTTGTTTCGCCTAATTAAAGCATTCATTTTGCCGTGTGTTAAATACTTGGCCTGATATATTGTGCAGCCTTAAATTTTTCTTATGCATCTGCGATATTTTTTCAATGCAGTTCTTGTACACCAGTCACTAGTGATTGTTACCTGATTTCCCCTACTAATTCTACCAAGGAGCTCATGGTTACTTGCCTTTCATAACGTTCCCAAAACAGCTTTTGATCTATTCTTGGTAAAACTTCACTCCCTTTAGTGCTGCACTAATTGACCCACCCAAGTAAGCTGCTTGCTTTGCATTGCTTATAATATCCTAAATCCTCACTGAATTGCTGGATGCCACCCCCACCTCTTCCATTTTATTTGCAAAGTCTGTAATGCCCTTGGCTTTCCTTATTGCCCCCAACACTTAGTCAGAATTTTATTTACTTGCCAACAGATGCGCATAAAAACTGTTTGTGTCCAGCTTGTAATGGGGTTAAAGCCCATTTTAAACATCCATATGGTATTAAGATACATTAACTGATATAGTCCATCAATTTTTTTTTTTTCGTATAGTGCATAGATCATTAATGCAGCACCTGTAGGTTACCTAGACAAATCCCTTTACCCATGCCCTTTTAGATTATTGGAAGTGTTTCTTTGATAAATCAATTGCAATAATGAATCTTGTGATTTATATATATATAAAACACATACCACACCACACCACACACACACACACACACACACACACACACACACACACACACACACACACACACACACACACACCAACACACACCAGCATCACCACACACACACACACAACACACCACACACAATGAAATATAGTAAACGAGCTAAAGAAATTAGAATTGGTAATTAAGACCCTCTTTTAAAAAACATACACGCATTTAACCAACTAGTGGTCTACTAATTTTTTTATGTCATATCTTTCTCTTACTTTCTAAACGTCTTTTTCAGATCTTCTCTTACAGGAACTCTTAGACGACTTCACATCTGGAGGCTTTAACCTGGACCTCATGGATGATGACGGGCCAGCATTCACAAGTGACCCGGTCTTCTCTTCGCCTCAGGTCTCATCTCCGAATTCCTCCCATCATTCATTCGATGATGCTCTTACTCCAGACTCCATGGACATCGTTGCGTGATCTTGTGCTTTAAGAGCAGTGAAAAACATGCATATCTCTCATTAAAACGTTTATTTGTTTTAAGCCAGCTTAGAATATACAAGGAAAAAAATATTACTGTTTGAAGTCACATATTTCTCACGTTATGTTCAGCACTGTAACCATTAAACATAACCATTAACCTGTATTCAAATTTTGATTATCAAGAGAAAACACACATACACACAGAAACTTCTTTCAGTAACTCTCTGTTTCTCCCAATTCTGCTCTTTTGAAATCTGCGATAAGTTTGTTAATTGTATTGTTATCTTATAAAAATGTTGTACCTCAAAGGTTCATAGAGATGTAAAATTTTGTTGATATCCTGTAATTGTTGATCTAAATTTGTATAATACCAAAAAACTACTGAACCTTCAACTCCCCAGCTTAATGGCTGGTCAAGCTGCAGAGGCTTTTTTATGACCTTTTTCTAAGACATTTCTCAGTCTGTACTGATTGGTAAATTCCGATGTTTAGATCAAAAAGATTATTCAGTTCTTTTAAGAAGTATTGGTGTACTTATCGAAATTGCTGTGTACCTCTTAGAAGAATGTAACTGATAGGTACCTGACACCACTAATCCATATTACAGGTAAATATTTTTTGCTAGTAGTCCACATAATTTAATTAAAATATGATTAAGGAGAAATTACTAACTATTTTTACTTACATGAAACATTTATAGGTTTTATTTTACCTCGTTGCTAGAGTGTACAGTTTGTTCCTCTGGCAGTTTTGAAGATTTGATATTTTGATAAAGCAGTCAGCAGGAGCATTTAATGATCTTATTTAGCACTTTAAACATGATTTCACTTGCACCTTAATTATTTTCTCAACAACTTTTAGAACAGTTTTTTTCTATGTTGCTGGCTACATTGAGAGTTGCCATAAAACCAATTTATTTGTAAATAGTTCTGTAAATTTATTTACTCTTACATTTAAAAAGAGATGAAATCAAATATTTTTCATGCTTTTTAAAAAGATTTTCCAAAATCGCTAGTATTTATTTTGAAATTTCAAATTATTTTTTATGCAGATGCTTATAAAAGTAACTGTGGTAAAGATATAATTTGACATGGAAAAGTATCATAATTTACAAACAAGATTTGATTTAAGTGTTGACATGATTTGTTATAACTGTGGTAAAGATATATTTGACATGGAAAAGATCATAATTTACAAACAAGATTTAAGTGTTTGTTACTTGTACATAAAATTTAAGCAGTGACACACTTTACATGTAAGCCTAACAATGCTTGGAACATTAGTTTTGTCTTGGGCATAATTTTACATTTAGGAAGGTGAAATGCACTACGAATTTCTGAAAATGATGTATGGTTACATATGTGAAACAATGAATTGTTCATTTTCTTCTTTCATACACTGTTGCAAAGGTAAAAATTGTATAGAACTTATTGTTAAAACTGTGATTTATGAACTGTTAGAAGAGCAACGGTCGGGCCAGAACTTTACAGTGTTCCTGTTGTTTGAACCCTGACATTTCTTTCTTTTTTTTTCTTTTTTTGTCTCTTATTTTGTTAGCACATTGTTAGTCTGTATGTGCTCATGAGTGCATGGATATTAGTGAGAGTATTAGAATGCATGGTACTGTATGTGATTTGTGCATTAAAGATTCATCTCTGATTCTTACAATATGCTTATTTAAAGGTGTACATAGTTTACATGATCCTTAGTTATAATTTGAATACTTTTTTATGTAGTCATATCATTTTTTTTGTCTTCTTTTCTTTTCCTTTTTTCATGTATTTTTTTCTCTCTCTCTCTTTCTTTTCTATTACTATGAGACATAGGATGTAAAAGCATCAATTTTATATAAGCTGTATGCAGTGTTTCCTGAAGATTTTTAACCAGTAGTTGCTTTTACATCGTTTATCTCAAAAACTATTTAATTTTAAGTGTAGCGTTCTTTATTGCCACGACAGTTATAGTGGCAGAAAGTATAGAATTTAACCAGCAAAGGGACGTCACTAACATAGGATTTGGATGACAAATAAAAAGGGTTGGCAAAAAGAAATGATAAAAATTGTATCCCAGATCTTAGTACGTTCGATCCTCTGAACTACTGGGGACACATAGGATCTGCGGTTTGATATTTTCTCTCCAGAAAGTTTTCCAAGGCAAATGACTTTGTCTATAAACCAATAAGAATTGGATTCCTTTTTTCTTTTCATAAAGGTCCTAATTGTTATTGGATACGTTATATATACAGTATATATATATACCGGTTATTTTTCCCCCTATAATTTATAGAAAAGTACAGTTCCCAGCCCTTTTAATTTTGCTTTTAACTTTTGATGCTTTGATACCAGCAGATCAAACATTCATTCGGGGCAGTGCCCTCACATGAAGTCCTTAAAACTAATGATAAGACTGGACTGACGCTAGTGCAAAACCAAGCATGCTGTAGTCATTATTGGTCAAAGATCTAATATTATCATTTAAGAAAATTATGTAGTGAACCTTGGAATAAGGAAAAGAGAAACCTATTGTTTATGTGATATATATATGTATATATATTTTTTTCTTTCTTTATGAGTACTATGTATCTAAACCAGCCTGGCCTTATTTCCTGTGTATGGTCACTTCATTATGCACTGGACTTTATTCATTTCAAAGTAATGAAATATTCCACATGGGTTCTAAAAGGGAGAAACAAAGGAAATAATCATTCAAGTAC